GGGTCTCGGGCGGGGAGCCGGACCCTGCTCCTGGCCCTGGGGGATCCCCGGGTCCTAGCCGAGTGAGACGGCCCCTCGCCGCCCCGCCTGCCACCGCCATTGTTTACCCGTCGGCTGCCTCCTAGGAAACTTAACCCGCCCGCGGTAATTTTATTTGGGAACTTCGGCCAGTTGCCATAGTAACCCCAGTGACGTCAGAGGGGCTGGGGCCCGAAATCCCCGGGCAAAAGGGGGATGGGATGAGGGGCGAGACCCCAGGAGGGGTCCTCCTTCGCCCAGAGCCTGCCGAGCCCTAGTCGGAGGGGAGAGGGCCACTAGATGTGACATCTCCGGGGCGCCCCCATTCTGGCCTCCTGCCAAGTTGGGGTGGCCGGCGAGGCCCTGATGTCATCGGTGTTGGGTGGGTGGTGAGTCAGTCCCCCCCACCCCTGGTTGGCTGGGCCAGGCCTGGGGGCTATTCCTGTCTGAGTCACCCTTCTGTGCCCCTGGGCAACACCCTGACTCTGCCCTGCGGATTTCAGGCACCTGGCTGGGGTCCCCCCAGGTCCCTGCGCCTCTGGCCCTCTGTAGATGGGCAGACAGGGCTTTCCTGATGCGCTGCACCAGTCTGGGTGGTTGAATGGAAGGCTTAGTGGCAGTGAACTGAGGCTACCACATAAGGTCCTACTCCGGATGTGGGGAGTGGCTGGTGACCTAGTGAGGGGGCAGGTGGTGGGATCCCTGCTCAGTCCATAACACAGCCTGTCGCCAGGGCTACGGGAGCGGGAGCACGGGCCCTGACTGGCAAGGAGGAGCACAGCCGCCAGCCAGGATGGGCTGGGAGGAGCCACTCTAACCACAGTGACGTGAGACTTCCTCGGCAGGGCCTGTTTGATGTCTCTGTGTGCAGCGTTGCCATGGGGCCCGGCAGGCGGCCCTTGTGTGTGAGCCAGGGTGACCTACCAGGCCACTGGGTCTGTCGGGGTCTCTTGACCCAGCCCGCTTGCCCCCATTCAGTCCTGCTGGGCTGCAAGTATCTGGTGTAGCTATGTTCCTATCCCACTCCAGGCCCTGAGCGAGAAAGCACATAGCGCATCTCACCTCAGAGCCTAGGAACAACTACAAACTGTACATTTTCAGGCCCATTTTACAGATAAAAAAACTGAGGTTCAGAGAGGCATGATCACTGGCCAAATATTCAGCTAGAAAGTCAGGGAGCATGCCCTAGCCAGTTTGGCTCAGTGGATAGAGCATTGGCCTGTGGACCGAAGGGTCCTGGGTTCAATTCTGGTTCAAGGGCACATGCCTGGCTTGTGGGCTCGATCCCCAGTGGGGGACATGCAGGAGGCAGCCGATCAATGATTCTCTGTCATCACTGATGTTTCCCTCTCTCTCTCTCTCTCTCTCTCTCTCCCTCTCCCTTCCTCTCTGAAATCAATAAAATTATATTTTTTTAAAAATCAGAGAGCAAAGATTTGAAACTCAGTTCTTCCACTCCACTCCCCTCCCCCTTCCATCACACTGGTCTCCTGGCTTTGGCTGTTTCTCAAATACTCCAGGTGAGTTCCTGCCTCAGGGTCTTTGCACTGGCCAGTCCCTTCATCAGGAGCTTTTCCTCCAGATGTCTGCATGGCTCCTCCTTCACCTCCTACAAGTCTGTTCAAATGTCACCTCCTCCTCAGGGTGGCCTTTCCTGACCTAGCCTCTATCCCCTCACACCTCATTTCCTTTGCTTCCTTCTCTTCTCCCCCTAGCACATACTACCCAGCATACTACAGTTGGCCCTTGAACAACATGGGGGTTGGGGCTCTAACTCTCCGTGCAGTAGAAAAATCCACTCCCCCCAAAACTTAACTACTAATAGGCTACTGTTAATCAAAAGCCTTATCAATAATATAAATGTCAGTGAATACCTACTTTGTATATTATATATAATATACTGTATTCTTACAATAAAGTAAGCTAGAGAAAAAATGTTAAAAAATCATAAGGAAAAGAAAATACACTTACAGTATTTGTTGAAAAAATCCAAATATAAGTGGACCTGTACAGTTCATACCCATGTTGTTCAAGGGTCGACTACATATATATATATATATATCTTCATACCTATCTATCTATTAATTGTGTGTGTCTCCCCATAGATGAAAGCAGCAGGAGGGAAGGGACTTTTTTTCTGACTTGTTCTCTGCTGTGTCCCCAGTGCCCAGAACAACACCTGGCATAGCAGGCACTCAATGAATGTTTGAAGAACGAGCAAATGTGTGTGTGTGTGTGTGTGTGTGTGTGTGTGCCACTTGACCTGGCCTTACCCTGGCCCTGTCACCCCACTCCTCCCTGTCATGCATGACAAAGGATCACTTGGCAGTTTGGAGAGCTCCCATCCCTGGTGGCTGCTGTCCTGGGTAAACTGGCTAGCTCAGGGCCAGGGCATCGGTGCACAGGTAGAGGGACCAAAAGAAAGGGCTGGGGCCACCAGGAAGACCTTCCAAGCTTGGGCAGAGGAATGCTAAATGAGCTGGGGTGGGCTGAGCCTCGTGCAGGGGTACAGCTTATATGGGGTCAGGGGTCTTGGCCCAGGTATTCCAGGAGGCCAGAATGGAGGAGGCGTTTCCCCTAATGTGAGCCTGTTAAGCTAATGATGGGAGGGGTTCTGGGTGGGAGGCTTTGTCTGGAGGTGTGAAGGGAGCATTCTGGACTGTGGAGATGGTGCCCCCTCTTCATTCGGTCCCTTTCTACTTCTGGAATGATGAGCCTCTGTGTGTGTGTGTGTCCACAGGGAGACACCAGACCCTGGGAACTTCATTGTCCTGTTTGTAGATGCTCAGGAGGCCATGTGGCAAGTGCCCCACCCCACTTCTGGGCCCCGCCCTGAGTCGGGGAATTCTATGCCACCCCAAATCTTCCCCCAAGGGCCCCACAGGCAGGCGGCTCTGCCCCCTCCTGCCCCAACCTGCCAGATCCTGCAGCCTGGGCCAGCCTTCCCCTTGGGCCCCACAGAGAAGAAAGACCCAGGAGCCCCCAAGGGCCGGGCCCCATGGGATGGGAGCTAGGTGTGGCTTCCGCCCCCTCTCCCTAATCCCACCAAGATCCAGGCCAAGCCGCCTGAGCTGCACTGAGGAAAGGGGGATGCTGGAGGAATTCTGGGGTGCAAGGTGACCTAGAGGCATCCAGCCAGCCCCTCAGTCCCCTGCCTGGGCCTGCTGCTGTCCCCTTCCCGCCCAGAGTGACTCTCATTACCCAGGAGGTGGGTGGTGAAAAATCTGACCCCAGCCCCAATTATATGACTTTGGAAATGTTGGGGGGAAGGGGGGAGGGAAAACTGTCCCCCAAATCTATGTCCACACGGGTCCGGGAAGGGTCCTCTGGCTCCAGAACCCTGCCTGGCATCAAGGTGGTGACGTGGAGCCCACCAGCCCCTGCCCATCTTAGAGAGGCGAAGTGGCGCCGGGCATGCCCGAAGAGGCTGGCTTGGCAGCCGAGGGCACCCCGCCCCGCCTTTACTGCGTTTTGTTCCGGCCCCCGACCTGGGCCCAGGGCCAGGCCCCAAGGCAGGGCCCCATCTTGGGGAACAATGCCCCCGTGTTCCTCCCGGTGGAGGGGAGGTCGGGGGAGGATGAGGTGGGACAGACACGCAAGCAGGAGGGAGAGATCCAGGAGGGCCTCTCTCCCAGCGATGCCGCGGGAGCCGGGAGTTTCCCAGAGGCCAGGGGTGGGGGCGGGGATGCCGGGAAGCTGGGAGGGGAGGGGAGGGCTCCTCCACGCAGGGACCACCTGGGACCAGACGATCAGCGTCTTCAACAGCAGCAGGAGGGAGTTGGGTGGGATAAAAGGTGGGACTGCCCGGGGCTGAGGCAAACCCGGTGGGAGCGGAGGACGTGAGGGTTAGTGTTTGGTAGGAACCCGGAATCCCCAGCAGCAGGGTGTCCTGGGTCTGGCACCCTGCTCCCTGACTCCCCCTCCCTCCGCCACCCCACCCCCCGCCGCCAAACCTCCCTTCCTTCCTGCGAAAGGGCAGGACTTGGGGCAAGAGGGGTTTGGGACTGCGACGGGGACTGGGATGTCTGCCCTGCCCCGACCGCCTGGGGCGAGCCCTGGCTGGGAAACGGGCTGTGCCCGGCGTCCGGGACCCAGACGGGGAAGTTGGTTTGGGTTTGGGGCCCAGGCCGAGTCGGGGTCCGGAGGGAGAAAGTTGGAGCTGAGTTGGGGACCAGATCGAGTTGGGGGACCGCAGAGAGAAAGTGGGGGCGGACCGACTCCGGGGGCACATG